TTCTAAAAGTTTGTAATTATTTTGCAATTTTATCTTTTTCTTAATCTCTGGTACTTAGGCCCTTTTTAGCCTAGTTTTACTATACTTATCCAAAAAAAAAAAAAAGCCATGCACGATGACTTCCAGAACTGCTTCCAATGCAAATTCAAGTATATGCCAGTGTTTCAAATCATGTTTACAGCTGTGCACTTGGATGTTGAAAACTCACCTCTCACCTTGTATGATGTTTACTGAATGGGAGACCAACTGAAACCAAAAAAAAACTTTTTTAAACCTATTTCTCTGGGGATTGGGCAACATGGCAGTACTAGTGCTGGTTATTATTTGTGTCTAAGTTAGACTTCATTTTCCTTAGGATAGAGAAAATGCCCTTCCCAATCAATACAACATCTGCCACACTATGGGAGCTTATAAAACATACAGTGATTACTAAGATCTCATCCATCTAGACTTCTGTATATACTAATTTTATTTAATGTCAAATAGCATTGATTTAAGATTAGTCAATGTAGTCTTTGGAAAACATTTCCCAGAATGCACATTTTTTTGACATTTGCTTTGAGGTAGACTTAATAGTATCACTGGAATAATACTGGAATCCAACCTGATAAAAGAACTCACCAAAAAAAACCCAAAAAAACAAACCAAAAAAAAAAAAAAACAGCCAAGAGCTCACCTTCTGCTTATATCATTTTAAATCACATGTTTCTTTTTCCTCCTTTAATATTTTTCCTTTCCAACAGTAAAAGAAAGGTACAAGAATCCAGCCCTTAGTCACAAACCATTTTAGGAAATTCCTCAATATTCTCACTCCATTTTTTAACAAGCAATGAAAAAGCTAATCAACGACAGGGTTAATAATTAGGTTCCAGAGCTTCTGCAGTATCTCCCATTACTCAACAGCCCCTTGCTCTCCTCTCCCTACCCTCCTCTACCCCTCTGCCCGCCCCTCCTTCCTCCTGCAAACATTACGGAAAATGCAAGAACAAACAGGATTGTGTTTCTGAGGGGAAAGCGAAGGCCTAGAGGTGTTCATGTCAGACCGCAGGCTCTGTATTTACAACTCCCCAGTCTTTGTTGTTCAGATTTGTTCTCAGGCAGGAAGTGGTGGGAACTTCCAGTGATGACCCCTTCATTGCCCCAGTGTAGAAAGTACAGTCCTCTACTCTCACATAAAAGGAATCTCAGAAGGAAGGAGATAGAGAACGACAAAGAGGGTAGGGGGGCAGCTGCGGGGCAGCGGCACAAGTGGGACCCAGTGCCTCCCTCGCTGCCCCTCAGGCAGCACTGAGCAGGTGAGCCCAGCCGAGGCCTGCCCGGAGCATGTACATCCTGCCACGCACCGCATCGTTCTCGCCCGACCTAAAACGGGAATAAAGAGCAGCTACTTCCCCAGGCAGCTGTGAGGATCTAATGAGTTAACATAAAGAAAGCTCTCAGAAAGAGGCCTGGCACACACGAAGCCCTCACTAGATCATTTTGTAAGAAATACAACATGGCATACAAGAGGTCCCAGGACATAAAATTTAGAAAGGGTTTGAAAATGGTTTTCCAAAGCCTTGGGGGAGGAGAGGAATTATTTGAGGAAAATGGCATTCTTGATCTTCTAGAAATACAGAATTTTTTTAATAGACCTAGTAAATGGGCAAAGGAGCAGTTTTTGTTTGTTTGCTTGTTTTGCCTTTTTGACAAAACAGAAGACTCTCTAACTCCAGTCTCACAGTAAATCAGTTTCTTCATTTAAGTAGAGTGTGAGGAGAATTAAAACACCTTGTCCACTGTCTCCTACTGTTCTTTCCATGACAGGTCAATGTTGCTTGTCCCACAAGGACTGGCTTAATGGCCTGCATCCGCAGCATGCTGTGTGATTCATTTTCTTTGCAGGAAAGTCAGTCATCACTTTTATAAACATTCGCAGTCACTGCTCTTCTTTGCTGCAGTGTTCCAGTGACACGTCCTCGCTGTTTTGCTAAGCAGCAGGGTCTGTGTGCTCTGCCAGGACAGCGACTAGCCCCGCTCATCTCTGGGATGACTCCAGTAGGGAAATTAAAGCCCCGAACGTGGGAGAGCAATGATTTGGTCTGTGGTGGGTTAGGCAGGGACCCGACTGAGACCACAGTGATAAAATATGTTTTAAGAATAAACAAAGTGAAGAGGGCAAAGAGCAAATTAGGCGTCAGAGCAGTGAGAGGAGAGCGTCAAGAATTAAGAGAAGAGTATTACTGATGGTCAGGGGATATTCAGGGAAAAGAGGAAACAATGAGAAACAGGAATCTGTCGAGACGTGTGGAGATCTAGATCTGAGTAGCCATGTAACCTCATGCAACTCTCTTCACTTCTCTGAGTCTGTTTTTCATCTGAAAAAATAGTAACGGCTAATAACTGTGTAACATTTACTATCAGGCAGGCTTTGTTCTAACTGCTTTGCATGTGTCAACTCATTCTATCATTACAACCCGATGAGTAGGTACCAGGAATGTTACAGAAGAGGAAACTGGAGGAACAGGGATTAAGTAATACTTGCCCAAGGACACCCACCTAGAAAGCAGAGGACTCAGAATTCCCACCTGGGTAGCCCAGCTCCAGGGCGCATGTGCTCAGCCACTGTGCCTCTCTGGGGAAGAAGAACGCTGAACTACAAAACTGACAAAAAGACAGACTTTTTTTGTTTCTTTGATTTCCGAGCCTTCATAAACCAACACTGTTGTAATACTATTACCAATATGAAGTACTAGAAAAACGAGCACAGGACTGGATGTTCCTGCAATGCCAAATTACTACAATAGTTTCTAAATGCTTTCCATTTCTGTACTTTCACCACAGACCAGTAACAAACAGTTCCTGGACCAGCCCTGGTCCATCAACCACACTATGTACAGCACTAAACTGATGCTCTTTAAACTCCAGCCCTGTGGTTCGAAAGGGCAAATTTTGAAAAGCTGTCCAGGTTCCCCCTTCTCTACAAAAACTCTATCCCAGTAGAGGTTACAATTAAACCTAAACAAGGCACCTGAAACAGTGCCCGCTTCCAGTTAGACATCTGACCTTCATTTACAAGCATCTGCCGAGCAACTGCTTTGTTTCTGGTGTTGTATCAGGTGTCAAAGACAGAAGGATAAAGATACAGCCCTTTACACAAACTCAAACTCTAGAAGGAAGAACAAAACCTACATCAGGTGCTACAAGATTGCCACAAGCGTTGATAACATTGAAAGCAGTAAGAACAAAAAGAAGAGACATTCTTTCCTCTCTCCCTTCAGCCCCTTTCAAGGAATAAAAGGAACAAAACCTGTAATTCCCAAATCATCCTTTCTACCACCTGGGTATAGGGTGGGGTGGTGTCAGGGTGGCATAAAAATATAATCTCCAGTCAAGTCAGAGCACCAATTGGGCTCTAGCTTTACCCATGCTACTGCAACTCCAGACCTCTCTCTCTCCTTAATATTTCCACCAATGAGGTCTAGGTGGGCCAGGAAGATGTCTCATGTGTACGTAATTACTCCTCTTGATGCCTAAGGGACATCATAGTTGTTTTCCTCCTATTTTGAGATGTTTCACTGTGATGGTGTCTTCTGTTCCGCATACAGGTAAATGATAGCTCAACCACTGATGGCCACTAGAGTCTCCTGCACCCAACAAGGAAGGTCCTGCTACCTGGTCAAGTGTTCCTTTTCCCATCACCATAGAAGAGCCTTATTGATACTGATGCCTTTTGATTCAATATCTCAGCTCTCCTAGCTTCTTTCTGTTCTTCCACGGTGCTTGCCTCATCTCCCCTGAACGGAACTGAAGTCTCTGTTCACAGGATGGGAGGTGGGAGGACACCAATGGACTCTATATGGAATCCCACCTCTCAGACACCAGCCCAAGGCTCTGTAGATGTGCATTTCATCTCATCCTCTGAGATGAAGTCATCCCAGTTCCCTCCGTTCTCTCAAATAAAATGGACCCACTAGCCCTTCAGACATGCCTGACACAGGCTTAAGCTAGAACACCTGTTCAAAAATATGCCACTGGCTCAACAATATGCCCCCCTCCCCTTTTCTTTATTTTTATGATCACCACTTATTTACACCACAGTGACTCCCAACTTCAGTGAGCCTCCACAACACTTCACCCAGCAGTACATCTTAGTGCAGACAGCAGTGGAGAGTGTTATACGGGAATCTGGGTGGTAATGGGGGTTTTATCTGAATCTCTGGGAGATATGGATGTGTGCAGAGAACCACAAGCCTGTGACTTCTTTGCTATACACAGGCAAACAAGGGAACTTTTGGAAAATCAGAGTGTGCTGGATTTTAAAATAAAAAGTGTATTTTAAAAAGGCCTAGAAATTACCTGGCATACATATGCATTCAATAAACGGTAGCTCTATTATTTTTCACACAATTTTCGCCATTTTGAAAGGAAAAAGAAACATTTTTGTTGTTTTCATTTGAATTTCTTAGATTATTAATAAGGCTGGACTTCTTTTAAAGCTTGTCTTTGCTTTTTATATTGATGCCTTTTATCTGGTTTGGTAGCTTCTTGATACTGCTGTCTTACCTGGCTTCTCTAAGGTGATCAAACTTCCCAGTTTGTCAGGGACAGTCCTAATTACGTACGCTGTCCCAACTAATGATTAATATGATCCCCTTTCATTTAGAAAGATAAATTACATGGCCGCCCTACTATGCCCCACCACTGCCTTCATGTTTTGTGTGTTCTCCCACATAACAGTACTACCATCCCCGCTGTTAATCCTTAACTCTGCCCCATTCCACTGCCGGTGTCCAAAACATTCCTTGACAATTAAACAGGATAAATTTGGGGGGAGCTAATAGTCTTCTGCTGAAAAACTTCAAAATATTTTGCTAAATAATTACATTTTGTAGAATATATGGTCTTTAATATAAATCACAACCCAGTTCAGTGCTGCAATACTCAACTTTCCGGAGCTGGAAAGAACACAGTGTTCTAAATGTGTGGAGGTCCCTTTCCCAAACCACTGTGTTCTGAAGGACGCTCTCCCCTGCTCCTGTCCTCTGTGCTGGACGACATTCAATGCCATCCCCAAGAGGAGACATGATAGTACAGAGCTGCATACATGTACCCTATTACAGCCACCTTAGGAAGACAGCCTTCCCACTCTCCCTACCTTCCCTACCTTCTTTCTTCCCTTCCTCCCTCCTCTCTTTCTTTCTCTTTTTCTTTCTCCCCTTATCTTACTTTCTTTTTACTTCCCCTTCATCTTTTCTTTCTCCCTTCACCTCCTTCTGCTGTGGCAAGGAAAAAGTTGTTTATAATTCAATTTATTTCCCCCATTTGTTATTCAAATAAACTCATTACAGAGAATTAGAACATACAGACCAAGAGAAAAAATTCCACACTCGTAGATAACAGTTATTAACATTTTAATGTATTTTTTCTCTGTGTCTGTTAGGGGCAGTGTAATGTACAGAGCACTGTTGGAGTCAAGAGCTTCCTGGCCATGTGACTCACATAGTGGCCATGTGACTTTTAACAAGCTGCCTAACCTTTCTAAGCCTCAGTTTTCACATCTGTAAAATGGGGATAAATATATATTATTAAAATATATCATGTTATTATTTATTTCAGGATTAACAAGACAATATATATAAATCGCTTAGCACAGTGCCAAGAACAGAACAGGTGCTCAATAAATGGTAGACATTATTCATAATATATGTTTCATCAAACATAAGATCATACCAACATTCCAAATTTGGTACCTGCTGTTTTGCTCAACAAAATGCAAAAACTCTTTGTGATCAAATATAGATCTGCATTGTTATTTGTGGTATTTACTTCTTTGGACTGCATTTTTAATTTTGAAATATAATGAGGAAAAGCATATGTTAAAAAATAAGTAATGAATATCACAGATTACTACTACTTTAGAAACTCCCTGAGAATGATCATTTCCCTATGAATCATCACCATTCTTTCATTTCAGTCTCACGCATGGAAATGGGGCCACTACAAAGTAGAAAGTCTGGGCCAATGATGTCCTTGGCAGCTCCTTGCTCTTATGACTCCAGCTCTTCAAACCATATGCACCATCAGGCACTAGGACTGAGCAAGAAGCCTAATGAGCTCCAAGGAATAACACAAGCTAAGTGTAATATTGCTCACCAAAGCATATATTTAAGGTGATGTTTTCATCATTTTATTTGAGCAGCTGCCCCTTTGTGGGTTTGCTGTTCTATCTGGGGGACTGTGGTTTCTTGTCCCTGCTGTTGTTGCTTATGTTGTTCAACAGCAGGGATTCCGCTTGTACTGGCTTTCGTAATTGAGAAACAAGAAACCAGAACACAGTACAGAAAATGTAATTTCCGTTTACTCTTAGAAAACAGAATCTTGGAAACAAGTTCAGGGGTAGAATCAATACAACACAAAGAGAAAGTACTGAGTTCCTCAGTATCTGACTAGATCTTCCCTGGAGAAAAGTGTGCGCGGGCTAATTACCCGAGGACACGCATATGCATACGTACTCTTTTAGGGCTCTGACATATAGCAGTAATAGCCCTTTGCAATATGACATATGATATATTTCATAAGCAGTCTGTATGTTTCTGAATACATTTTCATATAGTATTCTATAAAAAAAACAAATAAGCAAACATGATGTATATGAATCAATTAAAGGAGCCCTGGTGGTATAAATCTTCCTGTAAGTTAACTGGTCCATTTCATCTATTAGAAGTCCCTGAAGGGACAGGAAGCACAGTCCCTGGCATTGCAGGCAATGATAAATACCTGCTGAACTGGTCTGGAGGCAAACTGCTGTGAAATGTGGTATGGAAATCTGTATTTGGTTTATTGGCTATATAGACAAAGTATCGTCAAAGTATCCTTTAGCATAAAGCACATTTATTAAGGGCTTACTGAGCACCAGACACTGTAATAAATGTTCTACATGCTGACTCCACGTTTCCCCCCAGACACCTGTGAGGGAGCTATTATGCTGACTTGACTCTTATGGACAGGGAAGCCGAGGCCTGGAGAGGTTACATCACCTACCACGGGACCACACAGCTAACAGATGTTAGAGTGAGACTGACACGAAAGCTCTGCTCTCAACCACTTCTGTCCCAATGTTGTGGTACTTGTCCTGGAGCCATCTGTTGGCAGCGACACCAGGTCCCGGCCCAGGCACCCAGAATCAAACCCTCCTGAAGCTCACTAATTATTTAGCTAAGGCTGATGAAACGTATTAGTATAACACAAATGAACATCATGGTGTAAGTGGACATTTTGACCCATAAAGTGAATAGTAATTGAACTTATTCCAGTTTTTCTACAATTTCATTATTCTCTCAGAATACTTTCTCTCAGGTGTCACGATAAGGACTGAGAGAGAAAACACAGTAGAGTTCCTATGTTCAGCCCTTTACTGTGATGGTGACTGAGGACAGGACTCAAAGTCAACATAATAATATAAAACCAAAGCATTTTCACCATATTACACACGACTTTATGTACATTCTCATTATATCTTCATGATTCCTAGAAGCATTTCTATCCTTTTTCTACAAATCAGGAAATTGAGAGACTTGCAAGAGAAAGGTAGTTACTCAAGCCACCCATCTGGGTTCACAGCCTGGCTCCATCACTTCCTATCTCTGACCTTGAGCAGAGCTGACATTCTGCCCTTGATATGATACTGCCTCTCTTGGTGCCACTATATACTACACACGGGCCAACCTCAGACAAGCTGTGATACAGGCAAGATGTCCTCAGTACCTTCTGTTATCCCATACCCTGCTCTTTTCCCTCCTTTCAATGCACCCATTTCTCCCAGATTCCCAAGGGCCCCATCCTTCCCAGGTTTTCCCCAGCATGGAGGAAAATGCTACTGTCCTCCCTGGGATAATTCATATGGTAAAATGGACCTAACACAGGCCAGGCATGATGCTGGGTGCAGTGGACAAATATGAACAGGAAGCTGACCCTTGCAAAGAACCACACAGCACAGCCAGGGAGAGCAGGAGGGGTGCCATTATCCTATAACAAGGAAACAGGTGGAACAAGCTGTTTTTAAAAATATACATAAGCTTTCTCGACATACAATTTGCATGTCATATAATTCACCCATTTGAAGTGGATAGTTCAGTGGTTTTTAACATATTCAAATAGTTGTGCAACCACAACACAATCAATTTAGAACATTTTAAACACCCCAAAAAGAAATCCTGCACACATGAGCCTCTCCATGTTCACACACGTCCTACACCAGCTCTAAGTAACTACTAATCTACCTTCTATATCTATAGATTTGCCTATTGTGGACATTTTATATAAATGGAATAATAAAACATGTGGTCTTTTGTAATTGGCTGCTTCCACCTAGCTCAGTGTTTTCAAGGTTCATCCATGTTGAGGCACATAACAGTACTTCCTTCTTATTGCTGAAAAACATTCCATTGTAGGGCTAGACCACATTTTGTTGTTCTAATCATCAGCTGACCAGTATTTGAGTTGTTTTGGCTATTATGAATAATATTGTTATAAACATTCATATAAAAGTGCTTGTGAGAATATATATTTTCAATTCTCTTGAAATATGCCGAGGAGTGGAATTATTGGGTTGTATGACAACTCCAAGTTTAACCTTCTGAGGAAATGCTATGTTCTTTCTAAAGCAGCTGTACCATTTTCCATTCCCACCAGCAATGTATGAACCAGCAGGTTTCAATTCTTCATATCCTTACCAACACTTTTTACTGTCTACCTTTTTTTCTAGCCATCCTATGGGGTGTAAAGTGCAATCTATCTCATTGTGGTTTTGATATGCATTTCCCAATGACTAATGAAGCTTAGTTTTAGACACCTGGAATACGAGATGCCTGTGAAACATCTAGAAAGCTTCTGGAAATGCAGTCTTACTTTTAGTAGAAATTCTGAACTGGAGATAGAGCCTGATTTACACTTGGAAGTCATCAGTGTAATAATCTAAAAGAAAACATTTCCATTTGTGGGATTTAGGCAACACAGCATTAACTGGAAACTATCTAGGACATGGGATTCTCCCAAGAATTACAAATTTTACCACATGGGTAACTACTAACTCTATTAACATCTAAGACTAGCCTTCGCTAAACAAACAATAATCCAGCTTTTCCTGTTCTGAGTTATGTCTGAGGACTTTCTGATGGCGGACAGGCTGTATAGCCAGGAGTTAAACGCTCTGCATGTGGGTTTAAATCTTGACTTATACACTATATAGCTGTGTGCCTTGGGGACATTTTACTCCCCCCTCTAAGTCTATTTCCTTCTCTGAAGAATAAGCATGCACACCTGCATCCTAAGGTTACTGTAAGGAATAAAAAAGAAATAGAACAGGGCCTGGCACACAGCAGGCACTCAATAAATGATGGCTGAATGACTGAAAAAATGAATAAATTAATTAATTAATAGAAATGAATTAATGAACACATGACTAAAAAGTACCTAGCGCAGTGTCCTGCACTTAGTAAGTGTTCAGCTGTTACTATTCATACTCAATACATGCGAGCAGCAAAGACTGATGTGCAGCAAAGGGTAAACATTTCCATTGCTACCACCATCCTTTGACCAGAACAGAACGTAAATGGTAGATGTCTTCATATGTTCTGCCCAGTTGGCAGGTGGCTCCCGGTGGGCCTGTCAGACAGGGAAAATTCATGTCCACAGTCATTCAGGTTTCTGAGCCGAGGAAACGTGATTTGTGAGCTGCCGTGCTCATCATCCTCTTCCATCAGGCCATTTATGGCCCTTACAATTTCACTCTTGATGAGAATGCATAAAATATTATTGGCCCTGTGTGCTTACTATGTAATATACGGAACTTACAACAGACATTATTAAATATTGTTAAATGAAGGGCTGAAGGGTACACTAAAATGACCACATGTTGAAAGGATTCGTTAACTCCGCTGATGCCATAGAAAGTAACTGCCACATTTCCCTGCTTTCTCCTTGCACAAAAATCATTGTTAAATAGTTTAAAGGGGCCACGCAGAAAAGAAGTCCTGGGTTAAGAGCACTGGCCCCAGGGTCAGGAGCCTGGGTTCAGATATTGGCTCTGGTATTCGCATCATCTTGAGCAAGTCACTGTACTTCTCTGACATCAGTTTCATCTACAAAATGAGAGTTTGGACAGGACAGTGTCTAGGTTCCTTCCCAGCTCTGGCATTCTTGGAATCCACAAGAATATTCAGTGGAGAATTTATTTTCTATTATTCTTTTCTCCCCCTCAGTGAATTCTCTACTCATTTTAGCTGCACTGTGTTTTCAGGTTGGATTGGATGAAACGTTAAACACAGAGAATCTCAAGGCAGAATTGTCTAAATTGCTTTTATTTGGTACCGATGCCCCAAGCAAGCACAGAGGACTCGGGCAGTAGAGTGAAGTGTGGCGGACAACCGCGAGTAAATATTGTGAAGCTAGATGTGGAATCAGTGGTATCTCAACAGGCGCACTTCAGTGGAGCTGGTGGGTCTCTACCGCTTCTACATTCAAACCCACTGACGACTTGGTTTCCACCTATTCCTCATGCGCTGGTTCTGCACTAGCTCTCTACCGTTTATCGTGTTTCTGCCTGTGTCTCCTGCTTCCCTTTCCCTTAACTCCTCTGACATTGATTGCTCCCAAGGGACATAATGGATTTCTTCCCTGACATCAGATGTGCTCAAGTGTGTGAATGCTGACAAGAAAAAGAAAGGGATTGATTCAGAGAAGACAGGGGAGGTGGAAAACAATTCTTCAAAGGGCCCTGATTCTCTCCCAAGCACATGTACTCCTGCCACAGGCGCCCCAACACATTTAATACAGGAAGACAGACAGACAGATGGATGTCACCTTTAATGGACAAGTCCTTAGGGCAAACCAACCAAAAACATGTATAGTACTTTCATTTTTTTTTCAATATGTTATTTCAAATCAATTTTTCTGATGGTTGTAGATACTGAGATAGTGGTATATATTCATTTTTAATGAAGAAAAAAATGTTTTGATCCCCATACTTTCTAAACAACAAAGTGGCAGTATTCAAGGAAAGGTTTAATCAGTGAAAGAAGCAACAAAAAGCAATGTGTGGATTCTGAAACTGTCGGAGAAAAGCGCAACGTGCCATAAAAATGGAGTGTGTGGAGCATTCTTCTCTGTAGCCTGTTATGTACAAGGTAGAGTCCTGTATTTCTATAATAGCATGAATCTATTCTCTTGTTTCATTGTTTCAATTCATTTTACAGTTCAAACTAAAAATGCATTTTTGTAATTAGAGTGCATATTAGCTTACACTCACATATATGACTTTTTGCTGGTTTCACCATTTCTTAGAGCAGAAAAAAAGATATTCTCCTATTTTTACAATGCTGTAAACCCTAGGAAATCTGACTAAAAGTATAAAACCACTCCAATGTGGTGAACGTAAGGAGGAACCAATAGGTGAGTTTACCAAGAAAAATGAAAATGTTTTTGGCATATTCCTATTCCAAATAACACATGTTTCCAGGGGAAAAAATTCCACATCTGCACTAGTGTATTAGCTGCCACCTGTTTTTAATAGGCTATTTTAGTTTTTTCTGGAGTAAACTCTTTATTGTATTAATAAGTTTCATCAAGTATTTCAGAAAACAGTTTCCTCATTTTGCCTTCTGAATAATTCTCCCTGTAGTCAATTATTATTCCTAATTCTTCATTTCTTTCCTACAATAGGATTTCACATCATTTCCTTTGCCATGTGACTTCACTGAGCCCCCAGCAGTGTCAGTAAACTAACTGCTACATTGACTTCTGGCTTAGCCATGTGGCTTCTGCTGTCCAGCAGAATGTTAATGGGCATGATGCAAACAAAGATTTTCAACTGGCTTGCATAGTCTGGCTTGAGTCTTGCATTTCTGCCATCTGTCATGAGAAAACCATGTCCTGAGTAGCCCCTGATCCTAGAATGAGAGATACATAGAAGGGTCCTGAACCCTATGCTCAGCCTGAAGCAGGTATGAGGGAAATAAAAAAAGAAAAATAAATACTGTAAACCACTAAGATTTGGGAGTTGTTTGTTACATGGCTTTATTGCAGTCAAAGCTGAGTGATACACTCTCTCTGTGTCAGTAACCTATTGCCACTATCATGCTGTGTAACAAAGCAACACAAAACTCACAATTTATAACAACAATCACTAATAAGATTAAAATCAGCTGGACAGTTCTGGCCTCAATTAGGTTCAGTGGAACTTAGTCATGCATCTGTAGTCAGCTTCAAGCCAGCTAGGAACATTTTGTGATCTTGGCTGGATTCTTCAACATATCTGGGAGCTTGGCTGAGACAGATGGGCTTACTCAGCTCTGCCTCACAAGGTCACTCATCCTCCAGCAGACTAGGCTTATTCTGAGTACACAAGGTATCCTGAGGCCTAGGCTTTGAACTTCTGCTGGAGGCCACTGTCACTTTTTCTGCATTCTACTGACCAAAGCAAGTCACAAGGCCACCCAGATTCAAAGTAGGAAAAACCAACTCCACTGCTTAAGGGAAGAGCTGCAGTCACATTGTGGAGGGTTTACACACAGGGAAGGCAGGACTTAAGAAAGAACCAAACTAAAGGATGGAGCTCTTCCAGGTACTATCTGGTTTTTTATTAGGTGAACCAAAGAAGCAATAAATACAAACTTTGCACACAGAGGTATTCAATATATCGCACTAAAGATGGTGAGACAAAGAAACACTGAATGATTTTTGTGTCCAAAAAATGCAGTCATGCTGATAGCAATGGGATCTAGTATCTTTGGCAAAACCACTTTCCTTTAAGCATTTATAGTACCCAACTTTGATTCTTCCTTTGTGTCCCTTCAACATTCTTCTATTCTGTTTATTTTGTAGAATATTTTGCATTTAGTGAGAATGCTTTATTTTTCATGTGTCCCTTCAACATTCTTCTATTCTGTTTATTTTGTAGAATATTTTGCATTTAGTGAGAATGCTTTATTTTTCATTTATACACTTATGTTCCCAAAAGTATATGATCTAAATTGATTACAATGTGATTTTAAGTCTTTTATGTACACAACACCACATTGTCTGTCAAGCCACCTCCAATTAGGGTTCCTGTTTATGTGGAGCTTACAAACTATTTTTTTGTATTCTCCCATCTAAATTCTAAATTCAATTGGCTCTAGATTGAGGAAAAAGTGACCTCTGCACCCAGTTTCCTCTCATCTCTCTCATTTCAGGACACATAATCTTATAGCAAGTAAATAAACAAAAACAAAGAAAATGCAAACAAAACTCAGGAAGCACCAAGCAAAGTGCTGGCCATGGGGATTTGCCAGGTAGGGCATTTGTCTTAGAACATTACAGTGGTTTTCCAGAATTTTATCCATGTCTGGCTAAATGAGGGCTTCCCAAAGTCAAGTCATATGCATCAGAAGTACTCACTAATAATTTTCCATTTTAATTAGTATACTTCATAAGGCAGAGGAAAATATATTCAAGGCTTTAAACTGATGAAAAAATAGCATCCAGAAATCTGACTAAAACTAGAGACCACTGTGTGCTTTCAAGAAGTCAGATCAAACACCATTTTGTAAAATTTGTAAAGATTAGAGGGAGCAGTGAAATGAGAATCTTTGCAACAAGAAGATCGTTGAACCATTAGAAACCAAAAGGCACTTTCTAAAGCAGTACTTTGATATAACCTCCTCTCTTGGGAAGGTTAGTTGTAATTCACCTCTGAGCAGTTAGCAATGGAATGCAGGGCTGGCCCTCTGAGACATCCTCTTACCCCTCACTAATTTGCCCTCAGGTCTATAGATCTAATGGTTCCCCAGGTTCCTGGAAAAATGGTGCTTGACAGATTGGAACTGTGACTTTGCTGTACACGAAAGAGCATATGCACATTCACTTTTCCTCTCCCAATCTCAAAGCTGAGCAGGCTCAACACAGTAAGTTCTGAGTGCTTTGACAATGGAGAGGGTACGAGAGAAGACTCCATGAATTGATGGAAGAATTGAGGAAGGATGAGGAGGGGCATCCTTAATCACACCCCAGCCCATTTCTTCTCCCTCCCAGGACTGAGCTACAATCATGCTTGTTCAGTGACCCTCATGATTCTTAGGGGTAATGAAATAAAATGTTGCCTCTAGTAGGCAACATAAATATGAGTCTGTTGGGCTCCTTAGAGGTCCATCCCCTATATAAAATAAGTAGTCACTTCTCAGTCCATCTGACTGTTGCCATGTAGGAATGTGGAACCAAGATATCAGATGAAGAAGAGACACAAAATAAAGGCGTGATTAAGAGGTGCTGGAAATACGAAATTTTATATGAAATCTTTCCATTTTAAAATGTTGACAGCAGGGCAGCCCAAAGAAAATGTATCTGCAGGCTGGATGCAGCAACTTGGATCCCCATTTTGCAATATATACTTTAGAACTCTGCTTCTCAAAGTGTAGCCCACAGATCAGCACCTGTCCATAAACTGTTCCAATCTGTGGCAAGATAGGAAGCTAACAATAAACACCATTTAGTTCAGCTGAGATTTTCCTCCATAGTGAAATTTTCCATATATAGGACAAGGGGCACTGATTTATGTTCTGGCACAAGCTCCTTATGTCCTTATGGGTGACATTCTGCGGAGCATTACTCTAGAGATGAGCTTTCAGGGACCCTTCTCATGATGCTGTCTTGGACACCTGAATGGACCAGTACCTTGTCTCTTTGAAGCCCAGCACCCTTTGAGAGAGGGGAAACGAGAGAGGAGAAAGAATTCCTGTAAGCTCGAGAAAGTTGCTTGCGGAAGGCCCCTGACTAAGCCAGGGAAGTAGGACCTGCCTGTACTCCAGTGGATTTCAGTGTACAATGTGGGCAAGCAGGCGGTCAACCATCTGGATCAGTTACTCCTCCTCTCCCCGCATACCTGTACTCTCTCAGTCACCTAAGAGTTTGGGGCTCATAGTTGGCCAAGATATATTGCATGCCATGGATATTCTTTCTAGTAGAACTTGTTCTTGTTTATTGTCTGTCTCCTCATCACTGCCACCCTCTCCTCAGCCCCATCATAGGTTACAAGTTCCAGGAGGAGGACAGGGTGTCTGGACAAGTGTCTAGAGAACAGTAGATACTCTGCAAATGAATGAAAGATGTTACAGCAAAGGTGTATAAGACAGGTGCAAACATCATGCTAATTAGATAGATAAAACAACTTTTTAAAAATGTTTCCAGAAGGTGACATGTACCTTTCTTAGGAACTGTTGAGTATACATTGTTTGCACGTTCAAGTCAAAAGAGATGTTGAATAGTCATTGAATATGCTATGAGAAATGCTTGAAGGCCAGGATATTTGTAAAAAAAAAAAAAAGACTGAAGTTGGTAGATATGGGAAAAATTCAGAATGAGGGTTCCCAGACATTGAACTGGTAAATTACTGATTGACAGTCTTTTAAGAATAGATTAACCTATCTGAGGAAGTTCAAGGGAGATTCAGTCCAAAGGTGGAGGACCAGGGAATGACCTCAAGTCCTGTGCAAGCCTATGTG